TGGAACAGGCGAAGGTCAGAGACCATACTGCCTAGTCATTAGTTTCGTAGAGTTTTCATTCCTCGGGACAGGCTGAGGCGTGTCTGCCAAATCTTTTTTTTTTGTTTTGTTAACAATTATTTTTTCCTTTCTATTCTTCACAATGCACTGTGATTCCCCCATAGGCCATAAATCAAAAAAAATCATTGGCTTATCCCGGTTAGATCAACTCACTAAGTTAGTAACTAGTTAACAAGCTTCCAAAAACTATAAATATCAATGTAATTAGGTCACGTTATCATTCACTTTTGTGCATCGGAAGTGAGCGCATCGCGAGACTAATTATCACCACGTGTGAGTCATCGAAACTTAATCACTTTGTTTTTGAGTGTCACTATTCCAAATCAAGTGTTTACGTGTTGTGAAAGCATGGAGATCCAAGAGCATGGTATGTACTTTTATTATCAATTTTTTTTAATTTTTTTTATGCATATTTTTTTTATATAATTTTTTTATTGAAGGCAGTTTTTTGGTGAAAATTTTTGGCATAACTTAATTTCCTTTAGACCTACAACTTTTGGCTGCGCTGAGCTGCACCTGAGGTATATGGTTTTTGAATAAGGAGTATGTCCTTATTAAGAGCTATAAGTTTCATTTGCATCTTGCTGCCTCTTCTTGGCTTAAAGGGGTGTCAAAGTATGCATGTCCATAGTATTGAATTTTTAATTTTTTTTTAAGTTCAGCTTTCATATTGTTTTAGGTACATATTTCAAATGTTCTGTATCGAGGATGACAATTTTTGATATTTGGCACTCTAAAGTGGGTAATCCAAATGAAAAAATGCAACACGTCCTGAGCACTTTGACCGAAACATCATCCCTTTCTGACGACATCGAAAATATTGATTTAGAGACTTTAAGCCTTAAAATTAAGAATATTTGTAAACGAATTTCCCACTACTGGGCAAAGTCGAATCGTACTAGATCTAAATTCTTAGAAAAATATTCAGATTGGCTGCATGTCGTTGAAAATATTGATGTACAGCGAACTGAGTTACGTGTATCTCAGAGCTTTGACGAAGTTAAACCATCAACTTCTTCATCGCATGGCCGTCCGAGAATTAACTTTGACGACACCAGTAAACGTACAAAAAGGAGAAGATTGGCTAGTTTGTCTAACCAAGACCCTTCTCTTGTACAGTCATTGCTCAATGCGTCCGATAGCTTGTCTTGTCCTGAAATCGATTCTAGCGAAGTTTTATCGCTCATTGTTGAAGCTCAGTTAACTCGACATCAATATATATTAGTAAAGAAATTTATAGACAATAAGTTTTCAAAAACCATTTTCCCATCTTACCAAAGCGTCGTGGAATCTAAAAAACACTGTTATCCTTCAGATATTACTGTTACAGAATCATCCGCCGAAGTCGAACTTCAAAGTTTATTAGATCATACTGCCAATCGGATTCTCAAGTCTCAAAAAGATGTTTTGGATAGTGTACCTAATGAGTCTCTAGATAAGATATCTTTGATAGGGAAATGGGGTTTCGATGGCAGTACAGGGCATTCAGAATATAAACAGTGTTTTTCTGACTCCACTCTTGAAGACAGTAGCCTGTTTGTTACTTCGTATGTGCCACTTCAGCTTGTTTTGACAACAGATAACAAAGAAAATTCAGTAGTTTTGTGGAAAAATCCTCGTCCTTCATCAACTCGATACTGTCGTCCTATACGCCTCCGATATTTGAAGGAATCGACTGCAGTGTCAGTTGAGGAAGAAGCTCATTTTAAAGATAAAATAAGGAACTTGCAGCCTACTGTCTTCAAGGAAGAAGATCGCGAATATCGCATTACTCATTGTTTGCAACTTACTATGGTAGATGGTAAAGTGTGTAATGCACTTAGTGGTGTTTCTTCATCAAAATGTTTTATTTGTAACGCCTTGCCCAGTGAAATGAACAAAATTGACGAATGTTTAAATAAGGAAGTCGATGAGAGTAAATATGAATTTGGTTTATCACCTCTTCACGCGTTAATACGTTTTTTTGAATATTTTGCTCATGTCGCGTACAAGTTAGATGTTAGGAAATGGCAAGCTAGGTCCGCTAATGACAAAATGCTTGTTACTGCAAAAAAATCATATGTTCAGACTCAATTTAGAGAAAGATTAGGGCTTATAGTGGATAAGCCTAAAAGTGGCGGAAGCGGAACATCAAACGATGGTAATACAGCCAGGCGGTTTTTCTCGAATTCAGAAATTTCCGCTGAAATTACTGGGATCAAGAAGGATCTCCTAGATCGTTGCTGGATCATCCTTCAATGTTTAAATTCGGGATATAATATTAATAAGACGAACTTCGAAGAGTTCGCTTTAGAGACGGCTCGGCAGTTAGTTGCCGAGTATCCGTGGTATAACATGCCTGCTTCCGTTCACAAAGTTCTAATTCATGGTGCTAATGTTATAGATTACGGTTTGTTGTCAATCGGAGAGTTGTCTGAAGAAGCAGCTGAAGCGACTAACAAATACATCAAGTCTTTTAGAAAAAATCATACGCGTAAAATGAGTCGCATTGTGACCAACACAGATTTAGTAAATAGGCTGCTTCTTCATTCAGATCCCTTCATAACAGGTCTACGAAAGTTACCTGTTAAAAAAAAAGGTGTACTGTCAAAAGCTGTATTAGACTTGTTATGTATTTAAAGTTAATATTGTTGAGATTTAATGTATTTTGGTATAATTTGTGTTTTGTTTGTATTTTGTAAAATGAACTTTTTTATGTATTTTTATTGTTTTAATTTATTCATTTGTGGTTATTGTTAATACAAATAATCATTATTTACACAGTTTTACCATTAAAAGTCGCAGTATAAAATGTTTTAGATACATCGTCTAAAAACAAAATTACTACGAGACATTTTTACACCTAAATATTGTCAAATATTTTTTAAAATGTATAATTTTATTAATTTACGTTTACCTAATCATATTTTAACGTAATAAAATAAAAAAATAATAATAATTTCGGAGTTACGTATTTATGACCGCCTTAGTATGGAGCGTGAATCACCGTGCAATGGGACACGGATATAATCATTTGTGGATAGAATCGTGTTACTGACTTAGGGAAAATTATTACGTTAATTATTTAGAAAATTATTTTTTAACTGCTATAGCAAGTAAACTTTAAAAACGTTTTTGAACGTTTACAACCGTTGAAATATTTAAATAACCGTTAATTTGTCAAATAATTGTACGGAGTCTTCCAACCCTACGGCTCAACTCACACTAGCGCAGATTCGAAGCGTCGCGTCGCGTCCTGTTATTCAACTACACCGCCTGGTGACGCGCTACGACGCTCGCATTAGTGCGCCGAGATCACAGTGTGGTCGGCGTCTGACGCCTCACGGCGCCCAAGGGAAACCGCTCGAATGCTACCAAGCGTAGTCGGGCGTCGACGCTCGATTCCATATTTGCAAAACACAAATTTGTACCTTAATAATGGGAAAATAGAGATGAATGGCGACGCTTCGACTCTTCGCCAGTATGAGTTGAGCCTAACGTTGACGGGATCGTAAAACGACGGAGCTGCCCACTACCACCTCCGTGGAGTAATTCTATGATACCACACAAAACTTGAGTTGACGGGTAATAATAATAACGCACACACTCAACATAGCCTACTAGGGAAACCCTGTGTCGCGGGTGCCATGGACACACACATAGACAACCACAAATTACACCCAAACTCACGAGAGAAATAAATGTAAGCCATACAAACATTTCTCCCGGCCCGGGAATCGAACCTGGGACCTCTGCGTGGCAGTCCGGCATGGTAACCGTTCGGCCACGGAGGCAGTTTAGGGTATACGATCATTGGGTCTTAGGGTCGTATTCTAGAACTCTACTCAATGCTCAAGGCACTGGAAACACAAGCACTGGAAATACGACCCTAATGGCAAGGACTTGAGTATGATTTCTAGTGCTTTGAATCATACTCAAGTGCTGACTTGAGCATTGAGTAAAGTTCTGGAATACGACCCAAAATTTTCATCCTCAAGGTATAAGTAGATATTATTTTCACAATATCGGGAACTATGTTCTACAACACCAGTCATTTTTTAGTTTAATAATATAAATAATAAAATCCAATATATGTGCTGTCGTAATTATAAAAAACACACACAAAACTTTCACAAAAAAAACGCATCAAGACACCGATAATAATTTAATAACTTAAATATATACCACATCGATACATTGACACTTGGCTAAGTAAATAAAAACGTCTACTTAAACATATTTTTGACATAAATAACTGACTCAGAGAAGCCCCTAAGAGGCACCGGGACTCCTAAGACCATTAAACGGAGATGTCCAGCCTCTGCTATAAAGTTTCCTTTAATAAGCTCGTTAGTTGCCCATTGTATGGTGTACTCTGAACTTGGTTCGCCACTCGAAGAATCTTGATTCATGTTCATGATATAATTGATAACTGTCGTGTACAGAGGAGTAGCGACTAGTCTCAAAAACATGTTCGCATCAAGAAGTTCTTTTACAAGATCGTCCTCGATTTCTTGTTTCTGAATTGTTTCCTGCAAAAAAACGTAGTTAAATCGCACATGAAATTACTAAACTGAAAACACGACATGAGGTCCGCTGGTCCGTTACGTGGCTTAGTTGATATAGCGTCTGACACGGTAAGAAGACGTTCGCTCGCATCCGGCCGGCTCGAAGGATATTTTTCTGAGTGTTCGATCTTTGTATTTAACAATTATAACAAACTAGTGGAGTAATTTCACATAAAAAAACAATTGAATATCAATTCAATAAAAATTTAAACACGACATGAGAGTTGAAAAAACGAATATATGGAACTAATAAATTTACATCGTTTATAAGTTGATACATACATACATAAGCTCGCGCCCTTGTCCCACAGGAGGTCGAGACCACGGAACGCCACCTTACCCTATCCTGATACGACTTTCGACCCTCGCATACATCAACAACCCTTTTCATACAACTTGTCACTTCGGATCCCAGCCTTTTTGAGGACATCACTGATCTGGTCAATGTAAGTCCTTCTGAGACGTCTTCTAAAAACCCTTCCATCCACATTCGCATCATAAATATGTTTGATAATTCTGTTTACATCCGTCTGCTCTACATTTCCAATCCACCTCAACATTCCTTTCTCTAGCCACCACATCTCTTTCAAGCCACATCTTACACGTAGTATTGTATTCTTCACTTGTTAAGTTGGTAACTAATTATTACGTAGAAATAAAAGAAATCCTCATTATTCGAAATAAAATTCATTCAAGATACGCGGGGAAAGTACTTTAAATATTGTAGACAAGATAGTTTGCTCCTGGCGACATTATATTATTTTTAAAGGTAAGTAATATTGTCTCTTCTGGGAATCGAACCGATCAAACTTAAAAAAAACCTGTATTTTTGTGATGCCGATCGAAACGGTCAATTAAAAAGATTAATTCCTTATAAGCAATATAATATCTTAATTTTATTTAAAGCATAGTCTCCCAAAGTGGTCCCTACCCAGTGGGCCCTGAATTTGTTCTGAGGGGGTCTCGAAAGCAATTGGCGTTATTGCCGTCCACGTGGTGCTACCGTATTTAAAAAACCTGAATTATCTATATAAACTACACTACATTTTCCTTCCTTGTGATTTTTTGTGTTAAGTTAATATAAAAAATACGTGTCTTCAATTATTTTTTGTCGTGGTTGGCGTTGAAATCTTTTTATCTTGCCTAAGTGGGCCGTAAGCTAAAAAAGTTTGGAAACCTATGATTTAAAGGAACACCGTCCAATTGCACAATTTATTAAAGAAAGATACAAACTTGAAACTACCAATGCATTCACAATTTCATATTTCAAATTCGCTTCCTGTCTATCTCAGAGATAAAAGCATTGAAATATTCGATTATTACCATTTGTATTTTGCACTAAGAATTCTATTTTTTGTTCTTATTTAAAACATCACATTAACGGAGGTACCAGGTTTACGAATTTAGTCTTTGAATGCTTCATTACTTACTTTAAAAAGTCTGCCTAACTCAAAAGATCCTATCTACAATATTTAAAGTACTTTCCCTCCGTGTCCCATAGACGTGAGATGCCCTGTATAATATGGTTAGTTGGCAATGTCCTCTGTTGTAGTACAAACCTTGTGTCGCGCTATTAGGTCGAGTATGTGTTCCTTGTCATGTTCGTCGTTGCTGAGTAGTACAATCCAGATTGCGTTGATTGCTGCTTCTTTGGGCGCGTTTTCAACTAGATATTGCACCTCCTGTATTAATAAAAGATATTACAAACTTAGGTTACTCAATTTGAAGCAGAATTTTTATTATCTGTGAAATAGGAAATGAAACTATTTTTCCGGATTTAACGGTTGACTGACCATGGGACCTGTAAAGGGCCCGAAATGTTGGTTTGTTTGAAAAAACAAGTATACGCGATTTAAATCCGGAAAAACAGTTTCATTTCCTATGTGTAACAATCGCGAAAACCTAAGAACTCGATATCTGTAAAATTAGATGATAGAAAGTCGAGACTGTTATTATTATTCATTTAATTTTAGTTTCACGGTGCATTAGTTCTTAAATTTTCCAAACCCACATATTTTACTCATAGCATTAGGTAGCCAGCACAAAGTGGAAGTTGCCAAGCCATATGTGCGGTAGACAAGACCATAGACGTAGTAGGGACTGCCCCGTCGGTGCTAGGGGATGAGTCAGTCAGTCCATTCAGTATAAGGGATAGTTAATCGAGAAAGGATCTTCCATGACTGAGAAGGGAGATAGGATGAGGGAGAAGGAATAGAGTCAAAATTAGGGACTGAGGAGGAAGCGAGTTTGTCCGAAAAGGCCTCTAGCCGTGATACAGGATCATTGGCTAAAATATCTACTGCATCACATAAATGTAAATATTAGACAACAACACATACGTTGCTCTGATTCCAAAGTAAATAGCTAAACCACTGTGTTGTGGAAATCGGAAACAACGACGGTACCACAAACACCCAGACCCGAGACAATACAGAAAAGTTAGTTTTCTACACTGCCGGGGATTGAACCCGGGACCTCAGAGATGGCGAAACCATGAAAACAGGTGTACAAGCCACTCGCCCGCGGAGGCCGTCATCACATGAACCCCTAAATCGCAGTTAAGGGATGGAGGGGTCTTTGGGGATAGACGTTCCCAAAAACCTATCCAGTTATTTCTTTTCTTTTTTAGAAGAGTGCTTGAGTGGAGACCCAGAGAAGGGTACCGAAGCGTATGCAGGAAGCGTATTCACTGGACTGAAGTCATTGTTAAGGTGGCGGGGAAAAATTGGAAAAACTCTGTCCTTCAATAAGACTTCTTCACTATTTTACATTTGTTTTATTGATCTTTATTAGTGAATTGTATACACCATTCCGGAATTTAAGCTTAAGAATAATTACTTCCTGTTCTTATGCTTACAATTTACCTTAAATTTTCATAATTTTATAATCTTTCTTAAAAACTTGATTATTGGAATCTAGTAAGATTTCTACTATTATATCACATGGTACAGTGTCTCCCACACCTACTGTGGCGTCATGGAAAAATTTCCATTATGAAAAATTAATATTTTTCCGAATATTTTTCCTATATTTGTCTATATTTGATAGCTACCACCTTTCAAAAGATTTCTTTACCAATGCTTCTTTTTTTCGCAGTTGTCCAATAATTTCATAATGTCGATTTTCCCTAACTAGTTATACAATTTAATTTTTTAATTGACGCTTATTAAAACTTCATAAGATATATATAAACGTAGAACATCACATGAGTCTTCGAATGATATTTTTGAATTATTCAGAATTTTTCCGGAAAAAATTATCGGAAAATTACTTGACAGCACCCACACCGCACTGGCCTAGTCAATGCGCCGCGGGCGCTCCCGGCCAATCAGAGTGCGTGAATTATCCAACGAGATTTAGTCTCGCTTGCTCTTGACCGATCAAGAGGTATACTCCCGTTCTCTGTCCGATACAATCACTGTCAAATAAGGTAATACTCCACCAAGTCAAAGAACAATGTCACTTATTTGACAGTATTTGTTTCGGACGGAGAACGGGAATACAGGGCCTGGCGCGTCTCGGCCGTCCGTAACACTATTTTTTTTAAGAGCCCCTCACTAGGGAAACCCTGTATCGCGCGTGTCATGAACACACACATAGACAACCACAATCTACACCCAAACTCACGAGAAAAATAAATACAAATATTTATCACGGCAAGGGAATCGCACCCGGGACCTCTTGTGTGGGAGTCCAGCACGGTAACCGTTCGATCACACAGGCAATTAAAGAATAGAAAGAAAGAAATAGACATAATGTTAGTACAATGTTTAATCAATAAATGGATATAGCACTTACCTCTTGGTTGAGCAGCGGTCGCCTTAGCAGTAATTTGATGAGGACCAAGTTCTCCTTGTGATCTGCGGAGGGAGTCAACAGCGATTGCAGGTACTCGCAATGGAGACTCCTTGTTTCTCTGTACATCAAAACATTATAATTACAAAAGTTTACAAAGACACGTGAATTATGACACAATAATATATTCCTGGACAAAGGTCAATGTCCCGGACACGTAATTCGAGCCACCTCGCGTTTTTGCCTTAAAGGGCTAGAATACAAAAATAGTGTCATCATCGAAGAAAAAGGTTCCCCCGGTTTTGCAAGTCCAAATTTTCAACAAGGACTTATAGAAAAGACTAAAATTGCGTAGGATAGTTCTTGATCAATCGAACATTTTAAAATTTTATGGAACTGATATTCAATTATTTCTTGTGAAATCACTCCACTAGTTTGTTATAATTATTAATACAAAGTCGCTTAGTTGGTATAGCGTCTGGCACGGTAAGCTAGAAGACGTCGGTTCGAATCCGGCCGGACCGAAGGACTTTTTTCTGAGTGTTCGATCTTTGTATTAATAATTATAACAATCGAACATTGTTTAAGTTTAGGGTATTTAATACTTATGCGAGGTGCCTCGAATTATGTGTCCGGGAGTGTATTGTGTCCGGGAGTGTATTGAGTGTACAATTTCAATAATTTTGAGAAGTAATTCAAAGACAAGCTAGAGCTAATATCTGTAGGTGAGAGGTAATTACTCTACATTTCGGAATTTAGCTGTTTTTACAAACATTGCTTTAGAACGCTAAAAATCAAGCAATAGTTAAAACACATTAAGTCCTGTTGTCGTTTGTTTTTTATTTAATTTTTTAGACCTTATGATTGATTTTTAAATGTCTAATTAAGAGCCTTATGACCCCTTGCACTAAACTTAAGTACGTCTTATACCAATGCTTGCAGTGTAAAAGACTTATTAATACATTGTGTTAAGAGTGTTCTATCAATTTAAGTATTGGTTTAAGACATACTTAAGTTTAGTGTAAGTGGATATCATTCTCATTAAAACGCTCTGTAGTAAAAGGGTTCTTTACCTACGGAACTTATCAATAATTAAGGACGACAGATACGCCTCTGTTTTTTCTAATACTGTTTTCCTGACATATTGGGTGTGTTTGAGATTTATTTATTTATAATTTGGAAGATTTACAGCAAATTTTTATAAATAAATCTATCGATTTGTACCTTTACTGTCATCAAGTGACAAGTTCGTCCGGGGAAGTACTTCCACCTCACCTATTTCTGCCGCTAAGCAGTTACGTGAAAATTACTGCGTTCCGGTTCTAAAGGGTAAGGGTGGTGTATAAATTACAGGTACATGGGACTTGTCAACTTCTGTCTCAGGGTGACGGCCGCACTGGTGACCCTCAGATTTAAAGCTCCATGGTACCATAAAAAAATGGTATACCCGTCTCTGGTAGGTGGCCAGCAGACCAGTACGTCGACGAGCGCCTTCTTGCGCTGCCACGTGTCCGCATCCTGGCTGAACGCGGCGAACGTCTCGCGTCGGCCCTCCTCACTCAGCAGCTTCTCATCTGAGAACATTATTTCATTGACTAGTTAACGCGGACAAGTTACATTTTGAGAGGACTTTGATCTGAAATTCGAGTAACGGAAATAATAATGTGGACAATCCCTTCAACAAATCCCGGAACCATTATATTTGCATATGTGTCTTCCATGAGGAGTGCGATGTATTAATACAAACCCGTAAGAGAAGCAGCACAACCAGAGTCAGGCCACTCAGCCCTTAATAAATCAGCAGTGAACTGAGCAATCTTCATTAGGTCGCTGCTATCATGCATTTGAGTCTTTTGGCTCAGAGATAGGAGACTAATTTGCTTGTGCGGCGGCAATCCACATTCGGTGGCCTTTTGCATGATGCGCTCGAGCAGATCATCGGAGAACTTGACGCCGTCGTTGTGGTATTGAGTGAGACGGGTTACCAGTTTTTGGATGTCACTGTAAAGTAGACAAACAATGTTTTGACTTATTTTATATATATCTTATTTTTGATAGGTTCCAAAACTCTTTGACTTCATACTTTTCTGTTATGTGAAAACTTAACAACTTAAGTTTTGGAACATTCATCCAAACACACCGATATTCTATACAGTGCATTTTTGAATGGCACGCAGTATTGGGAAATCAGAGATATAGGGAAACTGTCTTAGGAACTGTAATTTCGAATTTATAGTCTATCTTTTTTGTAAACGGAGTAAACTGATATTTGCATGGTTACCAGTTTTCAAAAAAATTAAAATAGTCACGTAGTTGTTGTCGACAGTTTTATCGATACATTGTGAAAGGTAAAATTTTGCCCTAAAATGTCAATGTTAACAATTTCTAATGATTACTGATTGCCTTATATCCGTCTTTATTCTTATTTTGACAGTTGGCCTACTAGTATATACATTTTAATAAAAACAGACTGATTTGATTATCTATATGGAATAAAAACTTAAAATATGTCTCCTCTTTGTAGACAGTCTATTTTTAATAGACAAAGTTTTGGATTATGTATGAACTTACAAAAATTCACAATTCGAATGAACCGTGCCCAGTAGTTGAACGAATGAGGGACCGATGATGATTCAAATGAAACAAGTTCAGCTATTTATTGCATAAGCGTGATCAACATTCAATCGATAGTCGATAGAATATTTATCGACTGCAATCACTAACTGCTTGCATTTTACTCCATCTTCAAAAAAGACAAGACTTTAGAACCGATATTGTCCTAACTGTAACACGTGAAAGGCGCACGTACATACAGCAAGATGGATCATACTGAACGGTTATTGAAGCATTAAGTTGTTACGTTAAGGTAATAAATTATATGAAAGAAGATTTAATTTAACGTGATCCATTTCTGCTGTCCTCATATTTTTCCTCCGATACAATGAAATGATTCTTACAAAAAAAGATCTATATAGCGGCGATTAGCATTAAAAAAAATTGACAACACTATTCAATACTACTGACTACGTCAAATTTGTTTTTACAAACAAGACCTAACGATTTCTAAGACAGAAGAAGCTTCCCTGTATCTCCCATGATTTAAAAAAACTTACTCGGCAGAATACACGTTTTCAGCAATGCAGCGGAAGACGTGTTCCGGACGGGCGTCCACATTGAGGCACTGCAGCACAGTGGTCAAGGCGGACGCCCGCATGTCTCCTTGCATCACAAGTTGACTCGCGCACAGGACAATCGTGTCGGGATCGCCGTGGCTCATTTCAATCTCACTGGAAAAGAGGAGACCGTTAACGTGACTGACCGTTGTCAAGCCGTTGCTTCAGCTACCTGGTTTTTGAAAGAAGGAAATACACTCCCGGACACATAATTCGAGCCACCTCGCATTTTCAGTGTTAAATGCCCTCCGCTTAAACAATGTTTGATTGATCAAAAACTATAAAGGAATTTTGAAATTAGTATACTAAACGCCTTTTCCATAAATCCATGTTGGAAATTTGGATTTACAAAACCGGGGGAAAACTTTGTCTTCGACGATAAGACTACTTTTGTATTCTAAGATTTTAAGACAAAAATGCGAGGTGGCTCGAATTATGTGTCCGGAAGTATATTTATTCCATAAAGTAACAACACAGCACACGTACATTTAACAATTACGAAACATGATTATAACATGGAAAAAATCGAAATAAAAAAGGGGAAAAAGAAAACAACAATTAGATAATACACAAACAGGAAGCGAATAACTGTAACAACAAATAATCAAACGATACGCCATAATCCGTCATCCACTCAGATTGGTGTCGTCTCACTGCATGTGCGACAAAGCTCATTTTCAAACTTTACTGAACCAGTCTATGGTGTTAGTACTTGAAAATCAAAAAATAAAACAAAAAATCTTGCATCTTAGAACGGTCACAATTTTATATTTTTTTTTTATTATTATATTACAATTAGCTACAAGTTCTTACTCACTGATAGAAATAGAACGCATATTTCCCGATATTATGGAAAAAAAGATATTTATACCGTACGCGGATAGGTTCCAAAGCAAACAATCAAATATGAGATGACCTGAGTGTGGAAAATATGAAAGAGTGATCAACGGCCTGCAAAAACTAAAATATATGGAGAGGATTGCTATAGGAGTGCTTGATAATAATTTATGATCAACATTATGACTGTGAACTGGCAACTGGTACTATCTCAATTTTTTACAACTTTATATTGACTTTACAGGTTAAGAAGAAAATTGTTTGCGTCATTTATATACCATATGGTTTCTTAAATAAAAATACGTAGTGCATGTGTAATAAAAATATTTAAAAACGATGTATTTTCATTTAATAAATCAGATGCTATATAAATGACGCAAACAATTTTTTTCTTCACCTGTAAAGTCAATGTAAAGTTATAAAAATTGAGATAGTACCGGTTGCCAGTTCACAGTCGATTAGTTTTTCGCCATTTTTCAATATGGCCACCATACAAGTGTTTTTGCGGCAGAAAAGTTTGCTATGATCCATTTTAAAATTGGCATATGGGTCTCTGGGAGTGCTTGATAATAATTTGTCATCAACATTAGTTTTTCGCCATTTTTCAATATGCCATACAAGCGGTTTTTTTTTGCGGCAGACAAAAATTTGCTCTAATTCGACTGAAAATCGGCATTTGGGTGTCTCTTAGAGTACTTGATAATAATTTGTGGTCAACATTAGTTTTCTGCCATTTTCAAACATTGCTGCCACATAGGCGTTCGTTGATGGCAGAAAAAAATTGATCTACGTCGACTGAAAATCGGTATGTCGGGGTCTCTATGGGTGTTTCATAATAATTTGCGATCATAATTTCTGTCTTGCCATTTTTCAATATGGCTGCCATATAAACTTTCTTGGCGGTAAATAAAAATTTGCTCTAATTCGACTGAAAATGGCTTCAATCATAATTTCGGGCGAAGCCAGAAGTGTCCGCACGACACCGTACGACTAGAAGATTTCAAAATTGTTCAAAATGTAAGGCACACTTACCGATGTAGTGGATTGAGATACTAAGGGTCGTATTCCAGAACTCTACTTAATGCTCAAGTCAGGATTTGAGTATGATTTCAAGCACTGGAAATACGACCCTAATGGCAAGGACTTGAGTATGATTTTCAGTGCTGACTGCAATACTCAAGTCCTGACTTGAGTATTGAGTAGAGTTCTAGAATACGACTTTTAGAGCGTTGTTGTATCTCGATCGTCTCTCGTGTTAAATTCCAAGAAAACTTGGAAGCTATGCCAAAGAGAAGTATTTAGGGAAAAAAATGCCAATCACACCAAATTTCTGGACTCAAATTAGGGAAATTCCTGTACTATGAATACCAGAACAACGGTCACTCTTAGGGTAATATCCCAGAATACCCATACCAGAACCAACTTAGAAATGTCCGTTTCTTAAATTGGCCCAAATCGGGAATCGAACCGGGAACCACCTCACCAAGCGCCCATAGTACTAAACGCTTAGCCCGACCCCGTCTTAGGTGGGGTACAGTGCTCGTATTTATATATTATTACAATATAGGAGTGTATCGAGTGGAGGTTCATGGTTTCTGCCTACTCTTAGTTTACGTTACTTTTCGATTTTAAACTGAAATCATTTTAATACTTACGGCCATATCTCATCGTGAGGAACACCGCTGGTGTCAATGATGCCCTGTATGGTGGACGAGTAGTAGTTCTCCAAGAAGCGCGCCCAGCGCGTTAGCTCCTGGCCTACTTGCGCCCAGGACGGATCACTGCAAGCACTAAAGCAAATTAATGTCTAGATTTTAACAGGCGCATTAACTAAAGCTATAATGCACCCGTTAAGAACTAAGCCAATGTCATTTAATTTGTTTGAAAACTATTCTGCCATATCATTACGGTGACAATTGCGCTCCGATTGGCCAGCCCGAATTCGAAACAATTGTCGGGTGTGACCAGTTTAACTTGAGCTTTGCTATAATGGACGAAAATTGCAAAATCAGACATTTCATATCTAATTACCAATGAAATGTGATTCCGTTTGTTTTGTAATTAGACGTTTTACTGTTTTTCTATTTATTTTGATTTAGATATTTTGCTGCATATGATTGGTTTTTATTTTGCGTTTTGATATATTTCTTGATTTTTGCTAAGCACATAACTTAACTGCCTTCGTGGCCGAATGGTTACCATGCTGGACTGCAATGCATGAGGTCCCGGGTTCTATTCACGTGGCAAGAGAAATATTTGTATGTTTTTTCACATACCTACATTTATTTCTCTCGTGAGTTTGGGTGTAATTTGTGGTTGTCTATGTGTGTGTCTATAGCACCTGCGCCACAGTGTTTCCTTAGTGCGGGGCTATGAAAGTGTGCGCGCTGTAGTTCTAAAATTTAAATTTACTTTATTTCTAAACTGAATTCTATTCTGCTGACTCTTTCCTAGTGACTTCTTAGTAACCAGCAGTGGCGAATCGTTCATACAACTCTATTCTCACCGGCTTGCCTAAAACATTCCACGTGTTATCAAAAGACTGTACCAAAACATCGCGCCATTAACAAACTTATATTTAAAAACTATTCATTAATAAACGCGTAGTCGCCTGTCTTTGATAATACGGAGTATGATGGATGTCAGCCAATCACAGCATGCGGTCCACCACACAAACCGGTCGGATACCGGCTTCTATTGAATTCATGAAAACTACGAGCCCATATCAAAATACAGGCATACATTCGCAAAAATCCGCTGTGAAACCACAGTAGAATAAGACATAATAATGGCGGCCGAAAATTCGAAAATCATCGGGTTATGTCGAATGACGGTCACATAAATTTCAACCTTATCTCAAAACGTGGACGGTTTATTTTTAAAGACTGATTTGTTTCAATGCTTAAATCATTGCAAAACTTTCTTAAAATAATATAATAATAACATAACAAATGGTTAATCAGTATTTTGTAAACGTTAAAAGATGAATAATATTAGGAAAATGTAACGTATGGATGTTTTATTTTAATCGAGCTACGTAAAGAATGTAGACGTTTATGATATATATAATTAGTAGTTGCAATAAAATATTAAAACGGCAACACTTGTTTTTACCGTCGCAATACGAAAGTTTGTTTTTAAAGTAATTTACTACATAATGGTATTATTCAATTTAAGTGTAGAATAACTGAAAACTTTTTTTATATATTTTATAAATATTTGTATGGCCTACATTTATTTCTCTTCGTTAGTTTGGGTGTAACTCGTGATTGTATATGCGTGTATCCATGGCACCCGCGATACAGGGTTTCCCTGGTTCGGGGGCTATGAGTGTGTGCGTTATTACTTCATTTCAAGAACTTTTGAGTTACACGTTTGTATTAACACAGAATACTTTATCTCCAAGTAAAGTGTATTGTACAACAAAAGACTTACTTTTTATTGAATTTGAAGTCATTCTCTTGTTCCTGCTGACAATAGTCGACGGCTTGCATTATCATCAAATTGCGCGTTCCGGCTGGTACGCTGTAACAATGGCAATATTAGAACGTGACAGAAATATATACCAACTCTAAGGTATATATTTCATTTAAGGTATATAAGGTATATTATTTAGGCATCGAGTATATAACCAGAAATAGAGACGAAATAAGGGCCATATATACCTGGTAACACATTAGCGATATAGCTCTTATAAATATCAACTCTCGTTTGCACTGAAATATAGACAGGCCAACTACTGACCTGTGTGTACGTCTCCGTATATTCCAAAAAATATTCTGTATTTATTATAATAAACTTAATATCTCTAACAATGCCGTGCTGTTCCATTCGGTGGTGTGGGAAAAACAACAAAACAAACGGAATCACATTTCATTGGTAATTAAATATGTAATTTTGCAATTTTCGTCCATTATAGCAAAGCTCAAGTTAATTGGTCGATTTGAAGTGAAATAGTTGACGACACCTATTGACGACACCCGTCAATTGTTTCGAACTCGGGCTAGCCAATCGGATCGCAGTTGTCGCGGTAATGATATGGCAGAATAATTTTCAAACAAATTAAATGATATTTCGTCTCTATTTCTGGTTATATACTCGATGGTGTTAGGTCATGGAAAAATGTCTATTTTGAAAAATAAATGGTTTTCACTTCACTTCACTTTTTATTTTTATGGCTCCATCAATATGAGAACTGATGATTTTGCCAATGTCACAGTTGAAAGAAAAAAAACGAAACAAAAAAAAATTTTCGCTAAGCTCTAATAGGACATTAACCGGTGTTGGTAAGTTGGACTACGGGAGTACTCAGTTGAGAATGTAAAACAAAACAGCAAAACAATATTTATAAATATATGTTATTTAAGTGGATAAATTTACATAGCGTAACAATATGGGGGGAGAACACTAAAGTTAAGAGGTTGTTTATGTTAATGGGGCGGGGGAATTTTGGAGAAAGTAAGTTATAAAGTGGAACAGCAATAGTTAAAAAAAATCCGAATATTTAACAGCTGACACCTGTCAAAAGTTGAAGATACTGAACGAAAACGATGGAGCCATTATAATTTTTTTTACCTATGATTCTGTTTTTCACTGTTGTCCAAACTGTTTAAATCCGTTTCACGCTAACAAGCTTTTAACTATACAATTTTATTTTATAACTTCCAAAATTATATCTTAACGCAGAACATAATATTTATTAAAAATTACCACTGATTGAAAATTTTCAGAAGATTACTGGACAGTAATGGATCTGTTAAAGACACTCTAAAAGCGTCCTTAAAATACGTTAGGTCGTACTTAAGTGATTTCCCGAATCCCGAAAAATCCGGAACAAAAAATTTGGTCGTAAGGCTGTCTCCACTTTCTACGGATGAGGAGGCCCCGGATTCCCGGTAGAACCAATTTACGAAATTAACTTTTCTAAATTGATTCTGGTTTGGGTTTTCTGGGCAATGTCCCGGAATGAACTCCGTTACTCTGATACTCATAATACTGAGTATTACCTAATTTGAGAACAGCTATGTGGTTAACTGGTAAATTATTTATATATCGAGTTCTTAGGTTTTCGCGATTGTTACACATAGGAAATGAAACTATTTATATCGCGTATATTTGTGTTTTCAAACAAACCAACGTTTCGGGCCCTTTACAGGTCCCATGGTCACAGTTGACTGAGGTGGTACAGTCATCAACCAGTTATGTCTAATACTAATGCAAACCACCCTATTTTGTTTGTTATTTGGTTTGTTTGAAAAAGTAGTATATGTGTAGTAATTTAGTAGCAGTAGAGGTCCTTGTGAAAGAGTTCGTCCAGGGAAGTACCTTATCTATTTCTGCTGCCAAGCAGTAATGTGAACATTGGGTGGTAAGGGTGCTGGTGAAATTACAGGTACATGGGACTTGTCAACTTATGTTTCAGGGTGTCGGGCGCAGTGGCTGTGCCCCTGAGATCTTTGCGATTTAAAACTCTGAGTTGCACTGCAACTGTTATGGACAGGCGTATAGCTTACCGTCCCGTCACTTGGTATAAAAAAAAGTAAAAAAAAAACAAATACACGCGATTTAAATCCGGAAAAATAGTTTCATTTCCTAAATTGTTTATATTTATTTGAAGATAATGTGAGGTAAATTTACCGATCGATGGCGTCGCGAGTGAAGCAGGTGTTGGCGACGAACACGAGCAAGTCGTTCTTGGAGAGCTTGTTGAAATAGCACGCGCATTGACGGTACTGCTGCATCCACTTCTTGTTCGTCGCTGCCAAGTTCGGTACCTGCAGTTATTAAAACAATGATTGACAAAACACAAACCCAGTGCGGATATCGAGATATTTTGTATGCCCGTAAAAAAATACGTAATTTCGTTAAGAAAGAAGATATTCATAATATTAGCCTTAGAGCTAAATCCAAAGTCGTGGTACCACGATTTCGTTTAACTAAGGTAAACGATTCTTTTATGGTTTTTACAATAAGATTCCGGAGATTTTTTTTTTTATTCTAATGTAAGTGTGCATTTGACCTCCATCTCACCTGATGGAAAGTGGCGATGAGGTCGACGATGGAGCATGCGCACCTAAATAATGCCTATTCACTCTCGCCTTGAAAAGGTTCAAGTATTAATAAGTTAATATATTAAGATTATCATTTCCTAAGTTTATAAGTTAAAAACTTACATCAAAAGTATTTTAATTGAAAAGTCATATTACAAAATTCTGGGCTACGTGTTAGATAAAGATGTATGGAAAGACAACGTGAGTCTAGATTCCACACAATTATGATTCGAAGTGTATTCGATAGCATTTAAGTTTATTTGAAAAGAGCAATCTCTAGAGTTTCTTGCTCGTTCTCCTCAGTGAGGTCAACGTAGTGAGCGAGCAGTAGCTTAAAAAATGACGTTTTCAAGTGTAAACATTTAACCTATGGAATAGATTATTATTTGACTTTGACTTTGAGATTCTTTTACATTAATTAAGCTTATTGAATGTTAGGATGTTTCATCACCATGAAATTCAATTATTTTTTAACTGCCTCAGTGGCCGAACGGTTAACACCACGCAGAGGTCTCGGGTACGATTACCGGGCCGGGAGAAATATTTGTATGGCCTACATTTATTTCTCTCGTGAGTTTGGGTGTAATTTTTGGTTGTCTATGTGTTTGTCCATGGCACCCAAGACACAGGGTTTCTCTAATACGGGGCTATATGTTGAATGTGTGTGTACAGTTTTGTGAAATTACTCTACTAATTTGTTATAATTATTAATACAAAGATCGAACACTTATAAAAAATTATTTCAATCAGGCTGGATTCAAACCAACGTCTTCTAGCAAATCGCGCCAGACGCTGTGCCAACTAAGCCACAAAACGAACCAGCGGACCTTGTGCTTTTTTATATGTACTTGTTGCAATCTTTGTTTTTAGTTTTTTAACGACTTTTTTGCCGTAGCGTCATCTGTGAGAGAAATCTCGAGGCTTAGCGTTTGGCACGGTTTGCTAGAAGACGTTGGTTCGAATCCAACCGGATCGAAGGAATTTTTTCTAAGTATTCTTTTACATTACCGGATTATTGGGTTGGAATAATTTAATCATATGATATATTATAAGGTAATGTAATGTAACTGCCTCCGTGGCCGAACGGTTACCATGCCGGACTGCCACGCAGAGGTCCCAGGTACGATTCCCGGACCGGGAGAAATATTTGTATGACGTACATTTATTACTCTCGTGAGTTTGGGTGTAATTTGTGGTTATATATGTGTTTGTCCATGGCACACAAGACACAGGGTTTCTCTAATGTGGGGCTATGTTGAGTGTATGCGTTATTATTTAAAAAAAGTAATAATTTAATATAATTAAGTAGTGTGAATAATTTAACTTAACCCTTGCTGTGACTTTGCAGAGAGTCACATGTAAATCACCAATTCGACCCCTCCTACGTAAAGTATCGTATGTCGAAATTGCCAAGTTTACAGGGGAGCGTTTTAAAGTTCTGAATTCACTGAAAGAGTGATCACCATAGATCATCTAACCGATATCTAGGACTTTATAATACTCTATGTGAGTAATGAGCTTTGCCTAATAAAACTGAGAAATGGTAAAGTCACGTGTTATGTTCGTTTCAGTGAATTCAGAACTTTAAAACGCTTCCCTGTAAACTTGGCAATTTCGACATACGATACTTTACGTCGGAGGGGTCGAATTAATGTTCCATCTTAAATTTGTAAAGTGATATGCAATAAACAATTAAATATGACAACCCAGTCAGCGTGGCGGACTACGGCTTAAACCCTCGCCTGAGAAGAGATCCGTGCCCAGCAGTGGGACGTATAAATGGGTTGATGATGATGATCATACAAAAAAATACTTACACTGAAAAAGTACTTCGTGAGCCACATAGTGTAAATGACATTGACCGGCACTGGTATCTTGAAGGTCGGGGGAAGACTGCGCAGGAATTTCGCGAGCAGGCCCACTGTCTCCGGCCTGATAATACGGAGGATGTGGTTCGAGAAAGTATCAGCCGCCGGCTGTTCTAATAGGAGTTTGTAGTCGAGTTCTGTAAAGACATACGTAAGGTCGTACTTATTTCGAAAATTCTTTATTTATTAAGGGACTTTCGGCACTCTTGACAGATTTTTAATTAAAAATAAAACCAGACCTCAAAATTTCGTCGAATTACATCCATTAAGTTTTATTGAAACCGATTACCGGAAACCGGATTCTTCAAAATTAAATGGAACCGATATTGCGCCACCCTCTTCCCAATAAAAAAGAATCATCAAAATTGGTTCACAAATACCGGAGTTAACGTGTAACATACATACAAAAAAAATACAGTCGAATTAAAAACCTCATCCTTTTTTTAGGTCGGTTAAAAATATGGTAATAGTGGGGGTATAAATAGGTACAACCTTCTCGAATAAGCTCATTCCTCAATAGCAAGTTGATTGAAAAACGTGCCTACCAAACATTGACTTACAATTATATGGACGTCGGGTCCGCGCTAAAAAGTGTCCGCACTTGTAAGGCGCTAAAATCGTATACAGAGCGCGACACTCCGCTTTAGTTTTCATTTGTTCTACGGACAGCGCGATACTGCGATAACATAACAATTTAAATTTCGAATAGGTTGACTTGGGACATTTTTTTCGTGGTTTTTGTATTAGACCCGTCGTCCATTTATTTGTAAGTCAATGCTACCAAATGAAGTAATGTCAGCATTACTGCGTTCCGGTTTAGAAGAGTAAGGGTGCTGGTGAAATTATAGGTACATGGGACTTGTCAACTTATGTCTCAGGGTGACGGGCGCTGTGGCAGTGCCCATCAGATCTTTGCAATTTAACGCTCTGAGTGGCACTGTAACTGTTATGGACAGGCGTGTAGCTTACCATCAGGCGCACGACTTGTTCGTCCCGTCACATGATGTTATTAAAAAAAATGTCAATTGATGTTATATGAAACGATAATAAAAAAACTATTTCATTGATAATTGAAATTAATAGACAGGTCATTTGGCACTTTTTTCAATCAACTTGTTATTGAATATCGTCACAAAAATCTAATTGAAATTATTCCGTGTGCAGAGCGCAATAACTGTTACATAAACCGTCACTCCTCCCGCACCGCGCAGCTACCTCAGAAACCGCCCAGTTAAGCGGTAGGCCTGTAATTAGAGACAGAAAACGGAAACTCGATTTTAGATCTGTAAGGAACGCACCTGGTGAAGCAGCCTTGGCTTTCTTCAGTAGCTTGATGTGTTCCGCGGCGGTGAGACCGAATAGGAGAGGCTTCTCATCCAGGCTCTTCAAGAGGCTGAAGTAACTGATCAGCGCGTTGTGGTCGTCACCACGTAGTTGCGGCCAAAGGACTTCGCGAATGCTTTTAAATAAGAGCCCTTTTTTAACCTCAGACTTTAAAAGTGGAGAGTTGTAAGTTAGAAGCGTTAGTCTGTGTATCTATGTGGCACCTCAGCCGGAATAAAAATTTTCCCGTACTAATACGGTTCACTTTCCATGGGTATACGTGTTCTGTTTAGTTCAGTTGATATAAAAAAGTCATTGATGTATGTAAAGTACCTATTGAACACAACGGTTTCCTTGTAAAATTTCGACGTAAGTTAGTTTTTTTTCTGTTGTGAAAATTGTTAGGAATCGTGTTTTTCTACAGTTTAGTAATCAGTGTACATCCTCAATTTTACTATATATTTTTTCCAAAGTGTTGAATCACTTTCATTTTTATGCGGAATCAACCAAAGCCATTTGTGGTAGTATAGCATTGACTTACAAATAAATGGACGCAAAGTCTAATACAAAAACCACGAAAAAAATGTCCCAAGTCAACCTATTTAAACGTAGTGACATGTCAAGGACTATGAAAAAGCTAAAACGTTGAATTTAAATTGTAATGTCATCGCAGTACTGTCTAATTTTGCTTGCTTCGCTGTCAGCCGAACAAACGAAGACTAAAGCGTGAATGACTCTCTGTATACGATTTTAACGCCCTATAAGTTCGGACACTTTTTAGCGCGGACCCGACGTCCATATAATTGTAAGTCAATGTAGTATAGACTCATTTATTTATTTTTCGTTTAAGTTACTCCAATCACGTCGTCGCTCTACCTACTAGCTGCCGTATAAGACATTTTAGTAGTAAGCGAGGAAGGTGAAGTTTACACATTCTTTTGTATTTATAGATAACTGTAACTTTTTTATCTCAAAATTTCGTGGAATTACATCTATTTGCCAAGTTTTATTGAAATCGATTATCGGAAAGTGCGCGAAACCGGATTCATCCCCTAGTTAATCACCCGTAGAGGTGAAATATTACCTTCAAATTTAAATGGGTCCTATACTGAGGTACCCTCTTTCCAACAAACAAAGAATTATCAAAATCGGTTCACAAGTTATCGTTATCGCGTAACATATATACAAAAAAATACAATCAAATTGAGAAACTCCTCTTTTTTTTGAAGGCGGTTAACAATAATCTCAGTCGCTCGGTTGCTCGTGTCAATCTCGTTCTATGAATGATATTCGTACAAGCCACTTGATGGCATATGATATTCATATGAATAAGGTAGACATGTGATATCCCATCAAGTGGCTTGTCGGCGCATCTGCACTATATTACAATTATAAAAAAATTAAAAACCATTACCGCTGATGCGCTTGTTGAGGCGGCGTGTTCGGCGGCAGCGAGGCAGGCGTGAGGTTCTGCAACGTCGTGTGCTGCAGCCACACCTCCAGCGCATCCATGGAGTATTTGCCCGCCAGCGTAATTGCCACTTCCAGGTGCTCTTTACTCGGAGACCTGCAAAAGCAAATTTCACAATAGGAAGCTGAAAACTAAGTTACATCTTTAAGTAATCTGATCTAAGATGCTGACACCCGTCTCTTCAGTCCCTTTGAGACCATGGACGTTGCAATATGTCCGAAACGTCGAGGTAATTGTTTATGGTGAAAATCGTGAAAGTTTAAACCGGAGAGTTTTTTTTTCCTTGTAATATTATTCAAATTTACACATCCGAAGAACATAGTCCGATGTGATTATATAGCGAAAAGAAAGTAAGTACGTTACGAGAATAATTTCGTTATTCAGACAAGGCCTATTGTAAAGGTGGTTTGAGGATTTATATATCTTATTTCGCTTCGGAAATATAAAATCGAACTAGTCGATCTGACATCTACAGCGAAGAAGAACGACCGAAATGTACTATGTCGAGAGAACAAGTAGTCTTGCACATAGATCTTTGTTGTACGGATGAGACGAAATATTTATCATGACCTAAAATTATTTTCTGAACTTTGACAAATATGCGTGTAGATAGCATTGTGTATTACGAACAAAATAAATTAACGTTTCATGCGAATCCGAAACAAAATAACAGAATAGCCAGCTGTATCCATAAAGATCTGTGCAATAAGCGCCATCTAGTTGATTTGTTCGTTATCACTAGAAATAATAGCTTTGATAAATAGCAGCTTGTCAATGTAAAACAAATTAGTTACAAAAACAGCTATTTGATACTCGTCGCGACGTCTGGTGTACAAATAGGTACTAAATAACCGTATATAAAAAATAAAAAATAAACTCTTGAGTCATTGGTCCATGATAAAAATTAGTGAATACTATACATTCCATCTGCCGTCCGCTAACTAACGCGGCTAAGTGACAAAATATTTTTTTGAGATGTTATAAAAAACCTGACAGACTTTTAGGATATTGAAATTGTTTAATGATATTGCAGCAATGCATCGTTAGGGTATGTCCCCATAAGTTGCACACGTTTGTTAATTGTTTTTAAAAGATAATTTTGTGCTATATCTTTTTCTATTTGAAACGGATATTTGACCGCCGCGTTTTAGATAGTGGACAGCAGTCATGCTAATATGATCTGACGGATTCGTGGGAAAACTTCAACGATAATTAATCTTTGCGATAAACAATGATAAGAGACGTGTAAATCGGATACTTAAATATAAGATATATAAGACGACGATGACTGCCTCCGTGGCCGAACGGTTGCCATGTCGGACTGCCACGCAGAGGTCCCGGGTTCGATACCCGGGCCGGGAGAATTATTTTAGCATTTTTATAGCCTACATTTATTTCTCTCGTGAATTTGGGTGTAATTTGTGGTTGTCTAATGTGTGTGTTCATGGCACCCGCGACATAGGGTTTCCCTAGCACGGGGCTATGTTGAATGTGTGCGTTATTATGGTAATCCAATGGAAAGGTTTCTTCTTAACTGAGAGGTCTCCAGTTCGAATCACTGTGGCGGCATGTAACTACTTAAGATGTTGAAAAGCAATACCTCTCGCTAACGTTGATGAGAAATTTTAAAACCTTCGAGTCGAAGAAGACTTTGGAAAAGTTGTGAAGTCTTCAACCCGCAATGGGCCAGCGTGGTCATGTGACGTAAGTGATTCTAGTTACTAACTTGTGAATGTTTCAATGCAACCATTTATTTATTCAATGTTCGTGCAAAACATGATAATGATAAGACGTCAAGATGTCATAGGTAATTTCAACTCACTCGTAAACAGCCGAAATAGCTCAGTTGGGAGAGCGTTAGACTGAAGATCTAAAGGTCCCCGGTTCAATCCCGGGTTTCGGCAAATCATTTTTACATTTTTTACGTTTTTTACATTTTTTTATTTAACTAAAGTATTCTTTATTTATTACTTATAAATTTTACGCCATACGTTTAGTTTTAATGGCGACCAGCAATTCATGTTTATTCGATAGAATTATGACGTCATATGTATAAAAGACAAAAGGCGTGTGTATTTGACCCTGTTGTTCTACGACAAAATAATCGAACCACGATAATCTTATTACAGTTCTATAATGTTGTATTAGTATAAAATACAATGAGGAAATTGTATGGCAAAGTGACAACGTCCTATGTGTGACAATGTTTGATGTGCTACAACGTCGAATGTGTGACAATGTTCAATGTGTGGCAACGTCCGATGTGAGACAATGTCCAGGGTATGCAAATGTAGCTGACTGTACGAATGGGTTTGGATGCTAACGACGAGTGAGTAAGTTCACAGAAAATATACTCACATCTTATTTCACAAACGTAAAGGCAGAACTGAGGAAAAAAATGAGCACGAGTAACCAAAAATAGAAAAAAGATGACAAATCATAGAAAAGGCGCCAAAAACAAGTACATTTAAATTTAGAATTTAATGTAAAACTAAACTGATAAAAAAGACTGAGATACAAAAAGATTTGCAGCGACTGCTGCAATTTGATACACAATATTTGTAATTGAAATTAAAAAAAGGTTGACACTTACCTGGCGACACGATTGATGACCTCGCGACGGTAGTCCTCGTCAGCGTTGAAAAGTAAACCGTTGACACTGAAGCCTAGACCCCGCAACGCGTCCACCTCGCCCATCCCGGCGAGCTTGTCGATGCATTGTCGGATTATTTGGAGCTGTTCTTCGGATGCGTTCTTGTATTTCAGGGTGGTTCTGGCCATCTAGGCATAAATAACTGACATTGACAAAGATAATAATAATTAGATAAAAAATAGTTTTAAAAAAATCAATAATCTTAGTTCGTGTACATTACAACTATTTTATTAATATCTTCAAGGTGTCATAACTTTTTAATGATGATTAGTATTTATGTTTCCAACGGCGTCTGATGGCGAGAGATGAGCCCTACGGCATAGGTTTCCAAAGTTTTTGACTCACCGCCCACTTAGACAAGATAAAAATATTTCAACGCCCATTACCACAAAAAAATATTGAAAACACCTATTTTTTTATATTAACCTAACACAAAAAATTGCAAGGAAAATACATTATATATTTGTAGTGTAATTTATAATTTAGGTCCCCCTAATCGCTTCCGAGACTAGGACTTTTCAGCGCCCACTGGGATAGGGACCACTTTGAGAAACTATACCCTACGGTAATCATCGGTGGCACCACAAGACAGTTTTACTGCAATCCGTGAGGGGGCGCAGCAATCGACATCTTCAATATAAAGGGTAAAGTGTATACGATCTAGCGATATTTTGTACCGATTCAACATAATAGCGAATCGAATAGTCTAGATGGTACTCATAATTTAAACAAAACAGTAATTTCTGAACCCCTGTTTCTTACAGGCCTGCAAGAAAAGCAGTTTGGCAACATCTAAGTACAATAAGTCTACAATATTTGGCAATTGTCGCTACTTCTTTGCCATGTGAACCACATATCTCAAAGTCGAAGTCAAAGATTATTTATTCCATAAGTAAAATAAATTTACACTTGAAAACGTCACATTTAAGCTACTGCTCGTTCACTACGCTGACCTCCCTGAGAAGAACGAGCACGAAACTCTAGGGATTGCTCTTTTCAAATAAACTTAAATGCTATGGAATACACTTTGAATCAAATGTGTGTGGATTCTGGAGCCGTGTCGTCTTTCCATGCATCTTTATCTAACACGTAGTCTTCAATTTTGTAATATGATTTTTTGATCAAAATATTTTTAATGTAGTTTATAAAACTTGGGAAATGATAAACTTAATATATGCTAATCTTATTGTAAAAACGTATACAGTTCCCCATGAAAGAGTTGTTTACCTTGGTTAAACGAAATCGTGGTACCACGAGTATGGACTTAGCTTTTTTATTTTTATTTATTTATTGCGACTCGGCAAAATGACTGCACCGCGCATGATGGAAAGTGCGAATACAGTCCAGAGATGAGAGTAACTATCATTTTGCCGGTCTGGCCAAATGCTTCTTCACACTACGTTTGAAGGACCCGATGTTATAGAGGGGAGGGAATACATGCGCCGGGAGTTGGTTCCACAATTTGATGGTTCGGCATAAGAACGAATTGCCAAACTTTTTAGTGCGGGACGGTATTGAACTGACCGTCCAACTGTGGCAACGCAGTCCGGCACGGGTGGTCCGCTGATGGAAAGGAGAGGAAGGGATAAGGTTGAATAACTCTTCAGAGCACTCACCGTGGTACAGGCGATAGAATACGCTAAGAGACGCTATATCTCTGCGAAGCTGTAACGACTCCGCATGCTCAGTTACATGAGGATTGTTGACAACACGGAAGGCGTAGCGCTGCAGTCCATCTAGGGCATCGAGCAAGTACTTGGCAGAGCCGTCCCAAAGGTGCGAACAGTACTCCATGCTGCTTCGGACCTGAGCTTTATACAACAGGTATCGCAGCTCTGGAGTAAAAAATCGGTGCACCTTGTTCAGGATGCCAAGCTTGCGCGACGCGGTACAGATGACGCTCTCTATATAGTCTTAGCAGCTCTAAGGTTAATATTATGGATATCTTCTTTCTTATTGAAATTCACATAAAAAAACAGTTTTTTTTTTTTTTTTTTTTTTTAATCTTTAT